CATGCATTTATTGTTAGTGAAGACAAAATTTGCTATGGCAAAACTACTTGAGTTTCTTCTCCACTTTAAGTGGATTTTCTGAATTTAATAATGTTTTAGACCCCAAGTTTTATGAGCTGAACTCTTTTCACAAGAAAAATCTCCTTTAGTTAGGTGGAAATTGCAGCAAAATCCCTTTTCTCTCTGTAACCTGCTGAGAAATTTGTTTTTGGAGTTCCTCTGCTGTATCTAAGACCTATCTATGTGTGGAAATGCAAGTCGGAATGAAAGCCATGTTTTATTTCAAAAAGTATGAGGAAATGACTTGCAAAAATATCTAGCTATAATATTCCTCTTGGTATTGCATCTCAGTTCCATTCTGTCAAAAGCAGATGAATTGTTCTAGAATTATTAGTTCGTACTCATTGTTTAAAATCCATTAAAAAAAAAAGCAACTGGAGTTTAAAAAAAGTATTAACCATTAACAAACAATGCTATGGGAGGGAATGGGGGACATCAAAACTATATGTGCTTAAATGAAAATCAGGTAAAATCACATGAAGTGATGGCAGAAAGGGCAAAAGTATGTAATAGAAATCTTTCTCTGTATGTTGCTTATTTTTTAAGGCTAGTAGTATCCCACTGTGAAATGAAATTAAGTGATTTTCCATTTATCACTGCAAAGCAGCATAACCACATAACAGCTCTTCTCACTTAGCAGAACATTTAATACCAGTTTATGTCTGCTTCAGCTGCACTACTAAAGATGAAAAAGAGATAATTCGGCTATCTCAGCCTTTTTGCAAATACACAAGACGGGAGAACTGCTACTCAAGGATGTGACTCAAAATGATGCTTAATTTAAAAACAGTGTTTAGAGAAAATGGTAACTCAAGTCCATATTTAACATCTCTTCCTGCAGGACTGACAAATCCTCTGCTCATTCCCTTTTTATGCCCACGCAGCATAAAGTGTTCCATCCACTTCTTTTACCACTGGAACAATGAGCACAAGCAACAAATGTTAATTTTCACAGGCAGATAAAAAGCTTCTGGTCTTTTACTGACAATTCTCTAGCACAGAACAATACACAGTAGGAAGAACTACCACGATGTCAGTAGTATGATAGAAAGCAAAGTGAACTGACCGAATATGAATTGTAGCTGAAGCTTCCAATGCATTATCTTTCTGCCTGATTTTGTAATGGCCACTTGTATTTTATAATATTGAGAAATTAATCTCACAAAACTTGCACTAGGGGCTTCTTATTAATGGGATAATGGCAGCCATAGTTGTAATACTGAATGTATATTTGCAATTCTGAGGCATGGGATTTTTTTCTTTTCCCTCTAGGATGATGAGCCATCAAATAACATATTGCAAGTTGTTATAATTCACAAAGGAAAAGATGTGTAAGTTGTTGTAAAACAAAACCATATTTATTCATACTAGTATGTTTTAGACTCATTTAATTGGGTTCTCTTAATCTAGTTTTAGGACATAGAGACAGATCAATTTTTTTAGGTTGTATTTATGAAATATTGGAAATTCAAAAAAGGTTCACAAACTTTTAAGCATCACTGTATTTTCTGCGGCTGAAGAGTTCTCAACCTTTATTGTGCTTAAGATACCCGGTGCTACCATATTCTAATAAAAATGCTGCTCAGCTAACAGCCTTAGCCTGTATCTTTACAATTAACCTGCTGGAGGACTGATATTCAAAATTAGAAAAAAGACAGAGGAAGTCATTATCAGTGCTTACTGCATTTATATCTTGGGTTTCCTCTGAATCCATAGAATTGTGTGTACAGTATGTTTGAGGAGTATCATCTCTTATTTTATCTCAACTACCTTGTCAGATAAATTAGGCTAAGAGCAAACAATTTAACAATCATGAGCTCCATAGTTGAGTGGAAACTTGAATCTGACCATCTAGTCGAATATCTTAATCATCTCATAAGAGAGGTACAAAACCTCTAGGATTAAATTACAATTTGGCAGACACTCTATGAAAATCTGATCATCCGCATCAATGCTGTACGGCCAGCAAACTAAGGTTTGTTTCTTAAGTCTTTTTCATCTTAACATGGAAAATTTATAATTTAGACAACACATTAAATAACAGTTATACATTGTTGAGTGGTATGTTTGTAATGATTTGGAAATGTAATACATTGAAACAATTTTTCCTAAATCCCATTGTTTTATTTTTGAAATACAGTTGTGAAAAGCCCAGTTTTCAAGAAAATTCTTATAAACAAATGGGTCTTAACCACTGATTATGGAAGCAGAAATCTCATTCGACATTAGAAGGATATTGAAGTATCGTAACTTAAAACCTCACTGGTAAACTAGCATGAAGACTGGTTTCATCTCAGCTCAACAGTTTTCAGGCAGCCAATAGATAAACTTGTCTGCCACTCCTCTGCAATCTGAATTTACCATTATCTTTCTTCTGGACAAGTAGACGCACTTTGAAATACAGCATTGCTATTTTTATTTTCTGCCTCTGGGCTTGATGAGTATCAATAAACATTTTTGGAAATGAAAATGCTAGAGGCATAAGCTCCATGGCATGTCAGTTTTCCATTTTAGAAGATATGAAAAACCCCTTTACAGCAAGAAGTCTGATAGCTGCAAGAGAATTATTTGTAGGTACATTAGCGCCTATGGGCATCACAGCATATCTTAAAATGCATCTCTTAATTATAAGATTTAGAACTCCTGCTTACCATGATGATCAGATCAGTAGTTAGAATCAAGACTCAGCTATGGGAAGAAAGCTGGCAGTGGTCAATGGAAACATACTCTTTATATACTGAAGACCATCCCCTGTATTAGTCATGAACATCTAGAGTAGTGGTTCTCAACCTGTGGGTCGGGACCCCATTTGGGGTCGATTGACCATTTCACGGGGGTCGCCAAGCAAGGCTGTCCGCCATTTTTTTTGTCCGCCATTTTTTTCCCTTTTCCGGCGGGTGCCTTACCTCCCTTGAGCTGGGCCAGCTGGTGGTCAGCCTGCTCCGTCTCTGCCGCTTGCCAGCTACGCTTCGTCCGGCGCAGGGGGCGGAACCACGCATGTGCGGCGCTCTCGGGCAGGGAAAGTCCTCGACTTACGACCGGTTGGGTAGTCCTCGACTTACGACCGGTTTAGTCCTCGACTTACGACCGGTTTAGTCCTCGACTTACGACTGGTTGTCCTCGACTTACGACCAGTTGGGGTCGCGGCATTAAAAAGGTTGAGAACCATTGATCTAGAGCCAACAAGAGGCTTACAAAACAAGATCAGGAATTAATACTGTCTCTGCAGGTTGCATGCTTTTATAGACAGAATGCATACATTGACAATTCTGACTATTATTACATGTTTCAGCTTACAAAAATCAAGTGTTAACAACATAGAGATGCCTCCTGAACTTGGTCTGTTTGAACAGCATCCCCAGCCTGGCCTCCTCAGATGCAATGGGTTAAAATTCCCAATACATCTAAAGTATGCCTGCTTTGGGATTTAGGGGTTTCATGCCAACTTGCATCTTACTCTAATATTCAAGAATTGTATTTGCAAGAGGTCATCTCACGTGGATCAGAACTGTAACTACAACATGGATTTGTCAAAAATAGATCATGCCAGACAAATCTTATTGCATTCTTTGACCAAGTGACAAAATTAGTGGACCAGAGGAATGCTGTGGACATAATTTACTTGGACTTCAGTAAGGCATTTGATAAAGTAGATCACAACCTACTTGACAAGATAGAAAAATGTGGGGTAGACAGCATCACCACCAGATGGATCCGTAGCTGGCTGACCGGCCGTACTGTGTGTGGTCCTCAATGGAACCGCATCTACATGGAGGGAAGTGTGTAGTGGGGTGCCCCAGGGCTGTTCTGGGCCCAGTGCTCTTCAACATCTTCATCAACGATTTGGACGAGGGGATAGATGAGGAACTCATCAAATTTGCAGACGACACCAAGCTGGCAGGAATAGCCAACACTCCAGAAGACAGGCTTAAGATACAGAAGGATCTGGACAGACTTGAACACTTGGCACTATCTAACAAAATGAAATTCAATGGTGAAAAAAGCAAGGTTCTACATTTAGGCAAGAAAAACCAAATGCACAGGTATAGTATAGGGGGTACCTTGCTCAATAGTAGTAACTGTGCGAGGGACCTCAGAGTCCTAGTGGACAATCACCTAAATATGAGCCAGCAATGTGCTGCAGCTGCCAAAAAGGCCAACACAGTGCTGGGCTGCATTAACAGAGGGATAGAATCAAGATCACGTGAAGTGTTAATACCACTATACAATGCCTTGGTAAGGCCACACTTGGAATACTGCATCCAGTTTTGGTCACCGCGATGTAAAAAAGATGTTGAGACTCTAGAAAGAGTACAGAGAAGAGCAACAAATATGATTAGGGGACTGGAGGCTAAAACATATAAGGAATGGCTGCTGGAACTGGGTATGTCTAGTTTAGTGAAGAGAAGGACGAGGGGGGACATGATAGCAGCGTTCCAATATCTCAGGGGCTGCCACAAAGAGGGAGTCAAGCTATTTTCCAAGGTGCCTGAAGGCAGGACAAGAAGCAATGGGTGGAAACTGATCAAGGAGAGAAGCAACCTAGAACTAAGGAGAAACTTCCTGACAGTTAGAACAATTAACCAGTGGAACAACTTGCCTCCAGAAGTGGTGAATGCTCCAACACTGGAAATTTTTAAGAAGAGACTGGATAGTCATTTGTCCGAAATGGTATAGGGTTTCCTGCCTGAGCAGGGGGTTGGACTAGATGACCTCCAAGGTCCCTTCCAACTTTACTACTACTACTATTATTATTACTCTAAACAAGAACTGTAGATGGGAGCTGCACATGGCACTACTCAAATCAATCCTATTTCAAAATTAAGAACAGATGTTTTTTGCCTCTACCTATTGATTTCACACTGTGAAAGGCCAATGCTTGCTAGGCTAGTTATATTTCCTGCCCAAGCTTTGCAGAAAAATATGACACTGACAAGAGAGAAAGTTCATTTCTTTATTACAATCCACCGGCCAAATTCTAAGGACAGATTCACTTCAGTTCTTTTACCGCCAAACCTAGAGAGAAAAAAAAAGAGAAACACACATTGAAGAAGAGCAAAGAGACAATATTCTTATCATTTGTTTGTAAAACTATTATTTTTAACCATTTCTCAAAACACTAGCTGTCTAAATTTGAAGAGATCTCCCTGAGCAAGTGTAAGAGCATAATTTGCAGCCTCATGGCTAGAGAAGCAAGTAACCTGGAGAGTCATTGTTTTTAATTGGTGGGTTGATATAAATGTCACTGAACATCTATGTTCTTCAAAATGACATCTCTTTATTCTATCCAGCAGAGATGTTAGATTTGATGGCCTAAATGCAACCTTCCAGCTCTACAATATTCCTGCCACACAAGTGACATTTAGACATAGGGTTTTAAAAGCTTAACTTATTAGGCTGACATTTCATTTGTATCTGCTGCAAAACTCAAAACTCTCCCATCTGCCACATCCCTTGGTGGATATTCATTACATTGCTTTTCAGTCATTTCCGTTAAATCTGTTCTGTATTTTTAACCCCACTCCCACCTTGTTGACAATTCTGAAACAATACTGGTGCTCATACAAAATATGTATTATTTGGATGCATCTACTACAAACCTACTGCTTTCTGGGATCATTTCATTTTGTGCAGTCCCCCTCTATTTTTAACACGAACTAAGCACCAATTTATTGTTTTCATTAAAACTGAATTATCCCTTAGAAGCAAATTTTCACTTTGATATCAATAAGGAAAATACATTTCTATTTGTTAAGCAAACAGCACAGTAATTCAATTCACAATGCAAAGGGATTTAAGTGATTAAATCTCACTAGCTTTGAAAGGATATGCTATGCTCATTGACTGAAATCAATGGAAATTAAACTTCCTTAACTATAATTTTCTTCTCAGAGGAAAAACATTGTCTTTCTAAGAGGCAATGCCTAATTAATTCAACAGTATCAAGTAACTCCAGCCAGTTTACAGATTCAATTTTTAAACATTTTAAAGTGTGTAACTGCTTTTCAATTTTAAGCTACTATACCTAAAAATTAGGATTAATTTCAAATCAGTTTTAGGCAGATAGTTTGGTTCTTGTTGAATGAAGAAAATGGCCTTTCAATTTATCAGTCACTAGTGAATGACTAAATGTTCATTATATTCATAACATCTGACAGTTCCAGAAAACTGTTGGAAGATGTCCTGCTGGAATTTGCAGTTTGTGTCAAAATACAGATAATATTCAGACTGGTTCTTTTACAGCCTCCCTAGAATTAAATCAAGAGACCCAGAACCAATGCCTGGATATGAAGCAAATCATCAGAGATTAACTCAGCTGTGACAGAGGCATTTTTATTTAGTAATGCTGACTTTGGAATAACAATTTAATCAATGCTGGATAAAATAGCAAATGTAGGTTCATAGCTCAGCAGTTTCTCTGCACTTGGCTTTGACCTCAGACATGAGCTGTAATTGGGAATGCCTTCATCCAGCTTAGGTCAGTAGAGAGAGAAGATGTGATCAGAATAACTGAAGCCTTAATACTCCACATCTGGAGGATTGCAATAAGCTGAAAAGTGTTTGAAATAACCTAGAATGCTATAGCCAGGTTCTTAAGAGAAATTCCGTTTAGGAAAATAGGACTTACTTTACCTAAATTGTTTCATTTTTTCCCGGACCAATTCAAATTGCTGGCAATGATGTTCAAAGTTCATTATCAACTAAAATATCTAAAGGGCCATTTTTCCTACCTATGACTGTTTTGCTGGCTTCCCCTTCCCACTTCCTGGGAAGGGGGATTAGTTGACATTAAGAGGAGGAACTTATATCAGTTCTGCCAGGCTCTGGAATTTCATCTCCAGGTGGCTCCCACTTTCTAATCATCTACTAAGGACAAGTTAGGTGGGGGGGGGGGGCTCCCCATTTTCTTTGACCTGTTAAAATGAATGGATCACCTATGTATACTCACTTTGATGTCACAGCATCCTTAAGCACGTAAAGTTAACTTTTCATATAAGGCAGATTGATTTTATTTCTTTATATATTTATTTTCAGGAAGCCTGTAATCATTTTATTTTTTTTCAAAACTTGCCCAGTGCCCCAAATGTTCAGGGTTTTCCCACATGCAATATATAATAACTTAATCATTTTAGATTTATAGTTTGCCTTCTATCCAAATGTTCAGAGCATCTTATATAAGAGCCATGGTGGCCCAGTGGTTAGAATGCAGTACTGCAGGCTAACTCACTGCTCAATCCAGTTCGATCCTGACCTGCTCAAGGTTGACTCAGCCTTCCAAGGTTGGTAAAATGAGGACCCAGATTGGTGGGGGGCCACCATATGCTGACTCTGTAAACTGCTTAGAGAGGCCAGTATATAAGTCTAAGTGCAACTGCTATTCTGTGAGACAGGATTGGCAAAAAGAGTGACCCAATGAGAATACCCATCATCTTATGAAAGAACAAATAGACAAAACTGTATACCTAAAAACTCACAATAAGGATCAACTGGCTAAAATGTGGGACTATTTGCTTACTGTTAATTTTCTCATATGTTGTACAATTCCACTTATAATTTAGTTACCTGGTGGCAGAGACTGCTTCAGTTTTTCAGCCTTTTCCTTATCTGTGATGACAAGAGTATACAGATATCGGCTGCAACGCACCTTGAACTTTACATTGTCTTTATTCTTCTTAATCTTAACAGCTGTGGTATAAAAATATTGGGGTTATCATTATGCAATGATTATACTAAGGAACAAACTGCCTAATAAGAAGCAGAATTTAGTGCAATTTTGAGACAGAATATTTTATTACACCCACTTTATCTCATGACAACAGTGATACCTGTGAAGTAGAACTAAGTTATCATACTTTTTAAAAAAATGTTTTTCTTTAAATACCTTACTGGAATAACCTTGAAGCTAATACTTGTTACAGACTCATACATATCAAAGTACATAAAAACAAGCCAAAAACTAGTTGCTGTGATTTTATTACTAATAACTAGCACTAACAACTTTACAGCAGAGGCTTACGGTGTTAAGAGAAAGTCTGTGAACCCTTTAAAATAATCTGTAAACCTACAATACTGTGACCAGCAACGTGATATCAGCTTGACTTAAGACCTATTAGCAGATTTTTTTACCCCAATAAATATGCACTACACCTTTTAAGGAACATTCTGAGGCAACATTCACTATCTGAGAGAAAATATGTGAAACCTTAGGATAATTAGCTCTCTTAAGAGTAACCTAAACTAACTGCTTCAGGAATACAATACACTGGGATACTACAAAGAACCCAGGGTGATGGCAAAGGATCTGCAGGCTATTCTTACAATGTCCACTGATAGTATTCATGGGTCTTCCATAAGGAACTATTCAACAGGTTACTGCAATATTTTCTGTGGACAGAGGGGTCAAAAGTGGAACTTTGGGGGGAAAATTAGAAATGTTGTATTTTGAGAAAACATTTCCACAAACGATTCTCATCCCAACCAGTATGTCAGTTGCACTATCATGATTTGGGGCTGCTCTGCACTCTCGGAATCAAGACGGAACAATGGAATCTGGACTGTACTGAGAAATTCTATAGGAGCCTATCAGCGTATCTGCCTATAAACTGAAACTTAAGTGAATGTCGGTCATGCAGCACAACAATGTTTCTAAAATCAAACATGCATTAAAAATATGTTTAATGACAATTTCTTAGCTGATTAGAATGCCCTAGAAATTTACCATGGTTAAGTAATACCAATGAAGGTACTACAAACTTTATGGTTTTTAAATGACTCTAAATGATGTAAATTAAAACTGCTTTGGAGAATGTTTCACTATTAAGCTTCCAGTCATTTACTTAATGATGTTTTTATACATGACAAAATATTCAGAGACATCACTTAAAAGAACGGGCAAAAAGAGCCATTGCTTTTAAAATATGGATGAAAGGAAAGAATGCATGACTAAGATATGGCTCTCCAAATACAGTATTTGGACAAGACCTGGGTTGCTATGGAACATTTTAAAAAGTTGACAGTGCCCACAATTAATGTTACAGAATACCATTAGAACATACTAATGAAAATATATTTTCAGCATAAATTAAAATACAAGACTAAATCACACAGCCAATATAATTAGTGAAAGAAAGTAAAGAGCCGAAATTGGTACTCACATTTTGCATCTTTTCTCCTGGCAGTCAACAGAAAATCTTTGATCTCCTCAATTTTTCGAGGCTGTAATAAATACAAGAATCAACATACGTCTGACATCTAGTACAACGTGAAAATATATTTTATTCCTGCAACCCAAACAATTTTTCCTTTTCTGCCACGCCATTCTATCAAACAGAAAATTGAAACTTTATGAACTCATTTTTAGTAACAAATACAGTGTAGGAGCTCATAAGGAGGCTGACAGGAATGTTAGTAATAAAGAATATTTACAGCTCAGAGCTGAAATGAGGGGTCCTTGGTACTCTCTGAGCTTGGTTGTTTACTTGCAGACGTTTTATTACCCCAACTAGAGAACATCATCAGGACTAGCACTGATGATGTTCCCTAGTTGGATAATTAAATGTCTGCAAGTAAACAACCAAGCTCAGAGAGCACCTCAATGAATGTTAGACATAAACAACCCAGTGAGACTAGGAGAGCTTATTGGTATCTTATCTTATAAATTGTAACATAGTGCAGGAGACAAGAAATCTGGGAAACTCCTCACAATATTCTGAGTGGCTTCACCTTAATGACTTTGCTAACAAATGAGGCCTGGAAATCCTTCTGAGTTTCCATATTTGCTCCTAATACTAGCATTAAAGACATCTTACTGCTATCTATGTAATTCTTGCCTCTTAGTCTTGCTTGAGCTTTCTCACCTACAACTTCCAGAAATCATGTTCTGTCATCTGGACAAGCCTACTTCCACATCCCTTTTCTCCTGAAGACAACACAGGGGGATTGGTTGAATGCGGTTTGGAGCAATCCTGACAGTTTTCCAATAAAAATGTCCATCATAAACTGTTTTTAAGGCAAAGGTCATTTGGGAGAAAACAGGGTTGACAACTAAAGGTATCTTATCTTCAAACAGCAATGTCAAAAAACCCAGCCCATCCCCATGAAAAGACTGGCTTGGGATCACTAATGGAACGTTTGTTGAAACTGCTACAAATCTCTTCAAGCTATAATCCTATCCCTTTCCTGTTGTTCCAGAATTGGAAAGGCTGATGGATTGACAGGCTTTGGTTAGTATTTTATACCAGAGGTCCCCAACCTTTTGGGTACCAGGGACCGGTTCCGCGGAGATTTTTCCAGGGACCGGAGAGTGCGTGTTGTGTGCTGCCTGCAACATAAGCTTTGCTTGTTTTTGTGGACTGGTTGCTAGCATGCCGCGGCCCGGTACTGGTCCACGGACCGGGGGTTGGGGACCCGTTTTATACAACTAAGACTTTTTAGATGCCTTTGTAATTCCAACCTTTCACCTAACTTGGAGTAAGTAAGTGACGAAGAATCAGTGAAAGATTTCCATCTCCCTTTGCAAGTGACACAAAACTTACCAAAGTGAATGAATATTCTATCCTATTCTGATATCTACAAGCAACAGGCATATGCATGTAAATATCTAGCTACAGCAAAAAGGAAGGTGGTTACATTATGCTTTTATCCAGCAAAGGTCTCAATCAAAAGCAGCATGTTTCAAAAAAGCTAGTACAGGTAGTCCTCGACTCACAACATAACTGAGCCCAAAATTTTTGTTGCTAAGCGAAACAGTTGTTAAGTGCGTTTTGCCCCATTTTACATTTCTCGCCACAGTTGTTAAATGAATCTGGCTTCCCCGTTGACTTTGCTTGTGAGGAGATTGCAAAAGGGGATCACATGATTGTGGGACACTGCAACTGTCATAAATATGAACCAGTTGCCAAGCAAACTGAATTTTAATCACATGACCATGGGGACCCTGCAACGGTTGTTGTGTGTGAAAAACGGTCATAAGTCACCTTTTTCAGTGCCGTTGTAACTTCAAATGGTCACAAAACGAATGGTTGTGTAAGTTGAGGACCACCTATATTTTCACTGTCTTTCCCAACACCAAACTGTGTTCTTCCAGTTTCTTCTCCCCCAGTGCTAGTATCTTTCATACACTTTCCTTACAGCAAACAGGGATGGCTTCTTTGAGGCTATGTTACCCCCTCTGGGCTCAGATACTAACAGGTTCAACTCTGGTTACTACATTGATGGGAAACATCCAGGAAATACTACAGATACTGGCTAGATCGGTAAGTTGAAAAAAATATCCTGGAAGAAGGCAATGGCTAACCCAGGGGTAGGCAAACTTGCCTCTTTTATGACTCGTGGACTTCAACTCCCAGAATTCCTGAGCCAGCCACTTCCGTGGTTTATGTAGAATTACAGTACTAAGAGCCAAGCCACATCTGAAAACTTACACTTATTTTAGTTGCTTTCCATTACTATTCTCCTAGAATGCCCCCAAGTATTGCTGCATTTAATATACTGAGTGGAAATAAAGAGAAATAAGATGAAATGATTTCTCTTACTTCATTTGCATTCAATATATTAAACTTAATGAAAAAATAAATAAAACTATGCCTTGTTTAAAACGTGAACACTAAGTACGAGCACAGAACACATTTAAGCATTAGTATAATATGAATAATGTTAGCCCTTCATAGTTATCAAAATCCCCTTCACGGAAAAAAAAGCTTTTTTTTCTCTCTGTATCTTTTTCCAACCGACCCTGGCATCATCAAAAGAACAACCGATTCAGGAACAGCCACCACTTACCATGGCGAGGGCTTCTGGCCGCAGCTGCCTGCAGAACAGAAATCAAATCGTCAAGAGTTAGCGAGTAATTGCCGGAATTGGGGGGGGGGGGTTCAATCGCCGACTTACTTTTCTCCCGCCCCACTTTTCCCCACTCCCTAAGCATCCACGGTCACACACCCTGCACCTTAACGCTCCTCCTCCACCCTCTTCCCAGCTGCCCCCACCTGGATGCGCCACGGATGCCAACGGATTGTAATCACTTCTTACCGAGAAGCTCGAAACTACAGCAACGCCACCCGAGAAAGAAAAGAACAAGTACTTCCGCATCCGGGTTGTTAAAGCTTGCTGGGAGCTTAAGCTACGGATGCCGAGGAAGATCATAATAATAAGCGAGGCAAAACTAGCTCAAACCGGGCGATGTTGGAGTGGAACTTGTAAGCACTTTGTAGCTGGGTATCAGGGATGTAGTAAGCATTGTAGGTGTCAAATCAATCTTGTATGTGAATCAAGCTTTAGAGAATTTGCTTACTTGTGAACTGTTCTTGTCTGCGAACTTAGCGCAAAATGCGCACACTACCAACAGCAGCAGCACAGATACAATTTGCAGCAGCAAGGATTAAGTGCATAAAATTAAGCAACCTCCACCGTGAAAATAAAAATAAATTCCTGCATTAGCCTTTATACTTAAAAAGAGCAAAAGGTAATTGAGGAATCTGTGACACAGAGAGACCTATTTATTTGTAGTTTAGACCAGGGGTCCCCAATCCCCGGGCCATGGACCAGTACTGGACCACGGCATGCCAGCAACCCGTCCGCACAAAGAAGGAAAGCCCCATCCACAGGATGAAGGCAGCACACAAAACCATGCCCCCTCCGGTCCGTGGAAAAACCTCTCTCTACGTAACCGGTCCCTAGTGCCCAAAAGGTCGGGGACCTCTGATTTAGACCAAACTTTATAGAGGAGCAACTGAGGGAATTGGCAAGCAGTGCTCTAACAGCAGTGGGATCCAAGAAATTTTGATGGTGGCACTGCTTCAGAGGCACAATAATTATGAGCGTTCTCTCTCCCTAGAGAAAAATGGGGAGCAACCAGATCCTTAAATGTATTGTAGGAAGTTTACATAATACACTATAGAAAAGCGGTTTTTCATAGTAGTTTAAACTCATTCTGAAAGGATTATGAAATAGAAGGTTGGAGAGTCTGCTGTCTTATGATGGAAAAATTATGCAGGCAGAAGGGTTTCTAAGAACTAGTCAGACATGATGTAGAGATATTGAAGGAGATACCAGAATGTATTGAAAGAACAGGGAAACTTGGGGAATAGAAGAAAACAATAGAGGACAAATGAATAGGACTGAGCATTCATTGAGGAATTTAGTCTGAGAAATAAAAGTGTTTAGTACGATGATTTGGCCTGACAAGACTCCTATAAATTTGCACATTATACATGCTATTTTATTATCTTCCACCCAGTTTATATTATGCTTTCTGTAGAATGGCAAAATACAAAATTCAGATGTTGTGGGAGCTTCATCACTGGAAGCTTTCAAGAAAAGACTGCACTGCCATCTGTCAGAAATGGTGTAGGGTCTCCTGCTTGGGCGGGGGTGAGGGGAGTGGAGGGTTGGACTAGATGACTTACAAGATCCCTTCCAACTCTGTTATTTTAATTCTAATTATAATCCAAGGGTGTACAAATATATTTGGAATGGAATAATACTCTCTGAAGTCATTAGGAAGAGCAAAAACCACAAAGGTAACATTTAATGACAATGGGCGCTTACCTCAAGAACCAAGTAGCTATGGAAGAACACTGATTTCCAGAACTGGACTGATTCCAATTAGATTGGAATGGATAAAGTAAAGGTGAAATTTTCCCTTGTCTGGTCCTGTCCGACTATAGGGGGTGGTGCTCTCCCTGTTTCTTAGCTGAGGGAGCCAGCGTTGTCCTCAGAAATTTCTGTGGTCAGATGGCCAGCATGACTATATGTCAAAGGTGCCAGAATGCTGTTACCTTCCCACTGAAGTGATACCTATTTATCTACTTGCATTTGCATGCTTTCCAACTGCTAGGTGAACAGGATCTGGGGTAGGTAACGGAACTCACCCTGTTCTGTGGCGCTCGGGTCTTGAACCCAGGCTGTTGACTTTCTAGCTGACGAACCCAGCATCTTAACCATTGAGCCATTGCACCCTTTCAAGGTGGATATAATATGAATATTACATGCCTGAAAAAGGGACCTTTTTTGAGGGGGGAGGAATGTTTTAGAAGAAAGCAAACCAGAGGCTTCGCCCTAGATATGAAGGAGGGAAAAATATTCTCTCCAACACCTACCCAGGCTTGAAAATGTAAGGCTTTTCTTCTCCAGCCCAAGTGCTTCTGTATAATCCTACATTCACCTGTGATTGCCTTTCTGTAGAATAAAACTGACTGGGATAGATTGTTGCTAATATAATGTCTGAGTGCATTTAACCTTTTTCTTTTCTTTCTTAACTCATAATGCTTGATAACTAATAAAAGCTATATAGAGAGTAGAGAAAGCAAACCTCTTCTCCCAAAGCTACCTTTGTGCAGAATCCAACACAAGCTATTATTATGAACATCAACCAAAGACCTTACTGTGATTAGGTCCAGAATCCTTTACTTCCTGATTATAAGATACCTGAGCAAAATGTGACAGGAGCATATTACATTGCCTGATTGGGCAGAACCAAGGAATCTTAGAAAGAAAGAAATCCTGCCTTCAACTCCCTGGCATTGAAGGGAATGGAAGATGGTAATTTCAAAAATGAGTCACATGTAAGTGCAGTTTTCTTTAACTTAGTGCTCTCCAGATTTGTTGGGTTTGGATTCCCAACTCCTAAATCAGAAACTGTATCGTCTACAATAATTGTATACATAGTCTTCATTTAGTGACTGCCTTGCTTAGCGACTATTTGCAGTTACGGCAGAAATGAAAAAATAAGTTGCAATCAATCCTCACATTTATGACTTTCACAGGTCTGTAGAGCAAAGGAAAGCGGAAGTAAAATTGCAAGTACAGTCATGGTTTCACTCAACAACTGCTTCGTTTAATGACCAACTTGCTGATCCCAACTGTAGTTGCTAAAAAGCACTACCTACAATAGCAACAACATTCATGTGGCAAATTTCAAGTATGCAGAGTGGTTCACACATTTGATCTTGGCAATCCTGATTGAAGCTTAGCACAATCAACATAATTTTTCCCCTAATTGCAGAAAGAGTTTAGGACTGACTTTCTGAAGAAACTGAGAGAAATTATGGCTGAAGTGAAATTTAAACTGGCAAGATCCCATTTCATATTCTCAGCAATTATAAACTCCCAGATCTCAGTGCTTAAATATAAATGGATATACTTGTGACTTGAATTCCTGAGCAAAATCAATATAGAACAGCATTCATGTTTTGCTCTATTGATTTATACAGTATCTATTATGTTAGCCTCTATATACATTACGTTGAAGTAGTAGTTGCATTTATTAAAATTTGCTAGAGCGATGGGCATCTTTAGGCCATCAGAAATGGCCATTGTTTCAGGAGGGGGCTCCTTAGATAAAATGGACACATGCCCCATCTTTACCTATCCACAGAGAAGCATGTTTCTGCCCATCAGTTCTTCTTGTTGCACTGAGGTAGAAGTAAAAATACTTGGAATACTTGAGCTTATAGCCTTAGACATCTACTTTGTGCATTTTCATAATGGGGGATTTTTTTTTATTGCATGCCTTCAAGGATGATCTGTTGAAGGCTATCTGCCAATGGCAGTCTATCCCACCTCTTTTCCTCCTTGTACTATTTTCTCCCTTTCTGCCCAGGATTTAAGACAGAGGGCTTGTGTCAGAAACCTGAAGGGATAGCTTAGACAGACCTTTTGAAATTAGATGATAGTTTACAGTCACCTGCCTTTACTTTATGTAGGAGAAAGAGTGAGTTAGGGCTAATGCAAAGTCTCTGCCTGTCCTTATTTTGTGTGCCCTTTTGTTCCTCATTTCCTTTAGCAGAGCCATGGAGGTAGTGATAAAAATAAAACACAAGGGGGCACCCTGAATACAGTTTTGAAATAAAGCGGGCAAAGAAGAAAAATGGAAATGAAAAACAATCCATCCCCAAAGGGAAACTAATCATAGTTGCAATCCAGTTTGGCTTGCACAGGAATCATGTTCACCTTAGGAATTGCTTATTAGCCTGTCATTAATCATTACATTGTGTGCAACTACCTGGCATTTCATGGAACCAAGATCATCTGCCAGTAGCAATGGCCAGCCCTCTCAGCGAGTTTAACCCTCAATAAGCTTAACTCACTGTGTGTGACTGGATCACATCCTTCTGTCTTAGAAACTCTCCTTTGTTTCCTCACTACTTCCCCTCCTTTTGACTTATTGGAAAAAAGATAATCAAAATCACTCCATAGTGCTGCTTAATTCATAGGAGCCCTCCCTCTGTTATAGATACAAGATAATTCTCAACTGTAAGACTGGTTACTTAGTGTCCCTTCAAAATTAAAACAAAACTCCTCAGCTTTGAAGTTTTGATGGTCAGCCCCCCCTAACCATCATTATTGTATTTTGGGTGCTTGGTAACCAGCCTGCATTTATGTCCATTTGCATCATCCTGCATTTAGGTGACCACAATTTACAATGCCTTTTGTTGGAAACCAGTGTTTCCTTCTGGTTTCTGGCAGAAAAGGCAGTTGGTTACAATGGATTTGCTTAATGAATTTTACAACCGTGGAAAAAGATTGTAAAATTGGACTGGGTCACATGGTGACCTGCTTAACAGCTGCCTCAACCTATGACCCTATATCTAGAGCCAATTATGGTTGCAAGTCCAGGACTACCTATACAAATATTATGAAAGGCAATCTTTTCTTAGCAGGGTCTCTGCCTATGAATAACTGCCTTCCCTATTGCAACACTGTGAAGAATTCAAGATGAGCATTTGATTTTCACAGGCCTCCTAATTATTATCCGTGACCTAAAATGCAATTTTATGTTACGAATCTTAACTTTGCACCTTGCTTCAGGATTACTAGGGTGATAATGAATGTAAATGGGTAACACATTTATAAATTCAGATAATTTCCATTTTGAGTATATCTTTCTTATCTTACTGAAGCCTCTAAATTAGACCTCCTCCCCCTTCTCTCTCATCTTATAGATCTGGAACTAAAGCTGAGATACAGAGACTTCATAAGAATGATTTTTGTTGTTGTTTCAGAAACAACATCTTTCAACTGCAAAGTGAATGCTGTTTAATATGATCTTTGTCATGAGAAGCAATCACAGCTTCTGGTGACATTTGGTAAAGTTTGAAG